TATATATATATATGTATATATATATATATATACCAACACGCTGAACATGTTCATTTGTTTTGATTATAAGTTGAGTCTGATCATATGCACTTTTCTCTTGTTTTTTGTCAGTTGGTTTCTGTTTATTTTTTCACTTTTTTATTTAATAAGAAAATATTTATTAATATGAAATCTAAGTAGGGTACTCAAACCCAATACGAGATAAAAATCATGATCTTGTGCAGAAACTCTTTACAAAAAAACAAAGTAAAGTACATTCCCATTACTTATAAAATGATGCATCCCCTGTTGTAACCCTGCACTGCCAACTCTTGTATCCGACCCACAAATAACGCCAAATAAGAAACCAGAATAATAGTGATGTTCTTTAGCATCCCGCTACAAAATTGATCCATATTCTTTGTTCACCTAGTAAAAATCAAAATTACGAAGAAAGAGAATTACATGTCCCTTTTGAATAAAAATTTTGTTTTAATAAAATATATAATGTTGAGAACATAGAATTAAACATCAGAAAAAAAAATTCATTAAAAAAGTATAAATAAAGTACATAAGTGAGTTTCACACCATAATTAACCTAAAATATTATAACATCAGATTTACATATATTATTTAACATACTCGATTCTATTTAACGTCAGAGTTTCATTTACAATTACAGATCCATCTATAAAAAGACATGGTTAGTATAAAACGTAAAATAAATAACGTGTCAAAAATTAAAAATATACAGGTGGGGCGAAAGATCTTATCAACATCCATGATTTTGTCTAGCAAAATCTGGAGCTTCTTCTTTCATGGGACCCTTCCAAGATTTTCTGTCCCAATACGTCTCTATATAACATCATGTCCAAACTCCCTTAAGATCCCTCCAATGGTTTAAGCTTTCCTTTGTTGATTCTCAGTCCAATAACCTACCCTACTCAACTAAATTTCTTCAGTTTCAACCAAATCTTTCAGCTCAAAGGGCTAATCGCACATTGACCTATTCTTCAACTTGAAGAAATGAAGGAGGGTGGTAGAAAACAAGGTGCAACGTCACCATGTGCAGCATGCAAGCTACTTCGAAGGAGATGCGCAAACGATTGTGTGTTTGCTCCTTATTTCCCTGCAGATGAGCCTCATAAGTTTGCTATTGTTCACAAGGTTTTTGGGGCTAGCAATGTCAACAAAATGCTACAGGTTCAATTCTCAGAACCCATTAATATGCTTTTAGTATATGGTCATGATATATACTTTTGTCATTTTATCATAGTAAAATACTATCCAGAAAATTAAATTTTCCAATCACTTACATTAGAGAAAAATAGGGTTGGTTGTTGCAACTTGGATTTGTCTGAACCTTCTTACAAATTATCTGCTTTTGTTAGTAAGATAGGTTACACACTTTTTAAAAGAAGTGTTATATTAAAACATTATACACAATTCTGAATGACTTCACTTATGCAACATTTATATATGGTAAAACATAATAGCTAAAGTACATGATAACAAAAAAACAAAAAGAATTGGGCAAAGAAGCTGCAGCTACAAATTTGGTCTCAAACACTAATCACCATTGCCCTTTACCCCATGAGGAACATGTCTGTGTTTTGGTGAAATTTGCAAAAGATACAAAAATATAATTTACTTGGATTTAGAATCTTTGATTTGAAAAATGATTTTGTGAGTTTGGGAGATGAAAAATGGCGTTGAGCACTTTCACTATTAAACAAAGAAATCATGGGCATAGAAGTCCCACTTGCAAGATCATAGCAGCTTTGCTAAAAAGTAGGTATTATATTAGGAAGAATCTGATCACCACGGTTAACATAACATACACATGTCATATGCTAATCAGAAAAAGAGAGGAAAAAAAAACATATAGACACTAACACTGGCCCATCATCAAGCAGATTATTTTCATGTATTTTATGCAATATACTTTCATTATATAACGTCTATTAGAGAACTAAAATCTGTCTAGGGTTTTTTATTTATCTGCTGCTGTAATTAAATAAGAACACAAATGACACTAGTAATTAATAAATTGTTATTATTTGCTTAAGGCCTCTAATCGTTTAATAAATTATTGTTATTTCCTTAGCATCTGGCTGATTTAATGATCCAGATTCCAGAGTCTTTATATGTTCCTTCCTTGACATGTTAACCTTACAAATATAGCAATTATAATGAAAGGACTTCTTTGTTCTTTTGTTTCCTTTTCCCACCTTTACTTGCTTAATAGTGGCTAATTACAGTTGAAGACCACACGGTCCCAGCTTCAAAGTATTTTTTAACCTTGGTGTTATTATCAAATTTAGGGTTTAAGATTTAATGTTTATTAAAAGCTGTTAATGCATAGAAGATATAAAAAATAAAAAAAATAAAAAAAAAATTAATAATTTATTTTATATTTAAAGTTAGAATTTAAATTCTAAAAAAATCTGATTAAGACTTAAGTCATGGTTGCAATTAATGTCGACTAATATTGGTTTCTTCGGCCTAAATTTAACTGCATGATACTTGATCTTCTTTATTAAAGTAAGATCCTATATAGGCTGCTAGAAGTACATCATATGATCCCTTAGCACATATATAGAAGAAAATGTATTATGTATATATAAATTTCATTTATAATTACTACTAAAAAAATATATATTATACAAAAATATATATCTTATAATCATACAATATTTATTGTTAAAAATATTTTTATCTATATTATAAATATAATATATTAATATATTATTAAAAAAGTATTGATATATTATAATAATAATATGTAATATATATTGTTGAATCTATTTAAAATCAATAATAAAATTATCTCAATTATATATCAAATATATTTATATTTATATATTATATCTATTTTTTTATCTAATATTTCATATAGTAATTGAAAGCCACACATGGTGTTAAGAAGATAATAAAAGTGGGAAAAGACATGTTGCTGGTACATGATTAGTATTGGTCATGTACTGCAATTTGTATAGCTTCTTTAGCTTTTTCAGTCTTGAGTCGGGTAATCAATGTTATTTTAGAAAGAAAAAAAAGGTTCATTGCGTTCACCTTTTCTCTTTTATCTTTAAAATCATGGGGTTACATTGACAGAGACGGCTTCTATGTCCCAAAGTGATGTTGATTCCCCAGATCAACATATTTCAAATAGTAATTAAATTAATGATATATGGAATGTTATTTTGTAAGCATGACACCTTGATGACATAGCAGCATCTCTTTCTTTGCTGGTGTAACATATATTAGCAAATTATTTTATAAAGGTGAAGTTCGATAGTTAAGAATATAATAGGATCGAATATAATATATAGATTATTTTTATTATTATTTTAATACACATTAAAAAAAATCAACTAAAATTAAAAAGGCAGTACATTTCGATTTTATTGTTATAAATTAATGAGAATCGAATCAAATAAACTAATTCTTTTCATTATATTCATATACCAAATGCTATCAAAGTAAATATAAAAATAAAATAAAATTTATCATGTCCTTAATATCATTTTCATTAATTAGTTCATTAATTAAATTTTTACATTTATATTGTTATTTAAAATTGCAATACATATTAAAAGATATTATATATTATTAGAAAACATTCATGTTCCATAATTGGATTGAAAATTTTGATGTTAAAACTAAATATTATATTATATTTTTGCTAAAAATGTAATATCGAACAATATTAAAATTGATTAAACATACATATAGCATATATAATAACATATAAATAATATTCGTCAATTTAGCAATATTAGAAAAATATTGTTAACTTACGAGTAAATATTTTTAATATATTTTTGTGACATTTTATTAAATGTTAAATAAAATTTATATTGTTATAGAATTTTAACATTTTATAAATTAATGATAATATTTTAAAAAATGTTATCAAAGTATTATTTTGTAATATTTTAATAATATTGTTAAGTTTTTGTAAACTTTATAAAATGATAATTAGATTGTATTGTCACTTATATTTTATAATATTTTTTTACAAGTTTTTTAAGACTTAAGATATTCTAAATTTTTTTAAGAAGAGAAAGTATCATAAGTTAGTCACCACTAAATTTATATAATATATCAAAGTTTATTTATCTTATATTTCATTGTATAATTATATATACTCTTTATATATCACTTTTTTATTCTATGTGAGACTTTAATTTACGAAATAATTAGAGATAAAAGAAATATATTTTTTATATATCATTCTTTTACTCGATGTATAACAATTTTGAAAGAAAATTATAAAAAATAATATTAAGATAAAAAAAATGTTACTTTATTTATAGTATATTTTTTTAAAAATATATTACAATAACTTATTAACTTCATTTATAGTAACATTTTAATAAATAGAAATAATTAAATTTTGTTAAAAATGTTAAATGTAAGAGTGCATAACCAAAATTTATCTACTATATATTCATAAAATTGATGGTGGTAAACACTAATTTATATAATATTTCGGTGTCCATATTGTTTTTACCTTTTCACTCCTTAATTAATTTATTTAACAACTTTTATATAATTTAACTAATTTGTTTAATTAACTACTTCACTACTCTAAAGCTAACCACATATATTTTTTTTAATTTTATCATTTATATTTTATTTTACTCTTTTTTTTATGTCGAGAGAGAGAGTCTCACTTTCACTATTCAAGATAAAATGGCTAGTTGATTTTCCATAATTTGTTTTATCCATCAAACCCGTATCAAAAAGTTATAATAGCTCACATACTTTAATTATCTATCCCAATTATACTCGATTAATATTTTAGTTACATTTCCATTCACGCATATCATAATAACTTACAGAATGTGATATATAACTTTTTTAGACAAATTAAATTCAATAAAATAAATGTTACATGTGGTGGTGACATATATAAAGTGTTTACTATATATATAATATCTACAAGTATAAATTTATTTTACATATATCTATACATAATTTTAATGTTGATTTGTAATAAAATTCAACAATATAAATTATTTATCATTATAGTCTATATCAATACTTTTTAATAATATACTGATATATATTATATTCTATAATATAGATAAAAATAATTTTTAGTGACGAGTATTATGTCATTTTAGAATTTATTACTACAAGATAATTTTTTTTTTAGTAATTCTATATTCACCTCACAATTAGGGATGGCAACGGGGCCGGGTGGGTACGGGTTTCATGATACCCGTCCCCGTCCCCGCGACTGAAACCCATACCCGTCCCCCGTCCCCATACCCGTCGAGTATGTAAATTTTGTCTCATCCAGTGTTTTAAAAACCGAACCGGTCATTGAACCGGTGAGAGTATTGGGTCAATGGTTCACTGGTTAGACCGGTGGGTCACCTATTAAACCGCATGACCCGGTTTCTATTAAAAAAAATTAAAAAAATATTTGTTATACATATTTCATACTTATAAATTTCAAAAAGTGGTGAATGTGTTCAAAAAAATATTTGTTCACATTTTTTAGGAAATTGACATGCAAAAGTGGGAAAATGAATCAAGTGTAATCTTATCGCGTAAAAATTTAACACCAAGATATAGACAGAGTAGGGTCCTCTGCAGAAAATCTTCTATTTATTTCTTTTAATTCTTTTTTTTATAATTATCTTAATATTTTAAAAAATGCTACCAACATCTTAAAGAATCAAAAAATCACACATTTTCTTGTGATTTTATAATTTAATGAACCTTATAACTTGAAGCAACGACGCGGTGGTGCGACGAGGCGGTGGTGGTGGTGCAGCGGTGCGGTGGCGCGACTTTGCTTTCCAAGTGTTCCTGTTGAAGCCATTATTACAGATTAAAGAGCAGAGTGCAGAAACAATGAATTTTAAAATTGAAGCTTGTAATTGCCGAATGCCATTACCCAGGAAGAATTGAGACGCTCTTCCCAAGCTGTGCAGCGAAGCGACAGCGTGCAGCAAAATGGCAGAGATATTTCAAAATTGAAGGTTTTATTTTTTATATTAGAAAAACGACGCCGTTTCATTATTTTTTTTACAAAAAAAGTGATGAACCGGTTTGGCTCAAGACCCGCGAGTCGCTGGTTCAACCGGGTTTTTAGCCAGGTCACACCGAGTCAAACCGAGTCAACTGCATATCCGGTCTGATCACTGGTTCGACTCGGTCCAACCACCGGTTTCCGGTTCGACCGGTTCGACCGGCCGGTCCGAACCGAGTTTTAAAACACTGGTCTCATCCTCGTCCCCGTCGGGTATCGGGTATACCCGTACCCGTACCCGTACTCGTAAAAAAAATAATTTTTTTTTAAATTATCCAATGCATCTCTATGTTGAATCTATAAGATTGGCATGAACACAAACAACATTGAGAAGCAAATAATATAGAAATAGGTACAGGAGGAAATGTCATGGTAGGTTTTTCGTTAAACTAAAAATCAAATAAATAAAAGTTAGAAGTATTCAACAATCTGGATCCTATTCGAAAAGCAAAACCTCGATTGAAGATGCAAGGATCTGCCTGAACGGCGACGGCCACGCGGGCGAGGTTAGCGTGGCTGCGGTGCACCGCGGCGGCGAAGCGTGGGAGGGAGGAGAGGCAAAGGTCCGGGTATAGCATGGTGTTGCGGATGAAGTCGATGTCGCCGGAAGCGTCGGGTGCGGCGGTGACGGCGATGGCGGATGGGGTGAATTGGGAGAAGGTGACTGTGAATGTGAAGAGTAAGAGAGAGAAGCGGAAAGGGGTTGTTGTCTGGACTGCGAATCAGATTTGAAAAATTGAAACCCTAACCTATGTGTTTGCTTGCTCATCGTGACGTTTAGATTTTACAATAATATTTAAAATGTTAATTTTTTTAAAATAATTAAACCGGGGATGGGTATTTAACCTGGGACGGGGACGGGGCGGGTTAGTATATACCCGACCCCGTACCCGTACCCGATTTTTTTTATCGGGTTTTACCCATACCCGTACCCGTACCCGGTCAAAGCGGGTATTCCCCGTCAAAGTCGGGACGGGTTCGGGTATTACCCACGGGTACGGGTTTATTTGTCATCCCTACTCGCAATATGTTCAAAAGATTATTATTCATAATCATTAAGATTAGCTTAGTAATAAAGATTCAGACACTATATACTCATTTTAAATTTAAACTTTATTATTAATTCTTATGTATAAACATATAAGAATATATAAAAGTAATATGATTATTATCTTAAAGTCCCTAACACATGCATTACCTATGCATTACCTATGGGAAGTCGCTCAAAACTTCGATCTCTTTGCGTCTATAAGACTAGTTTATAACTTCTATACAAGTTGTTTTAATTCTTTCAACAACTCTTACAAAATATCAATTTGAGATTATAAATAAGTTTTCCATGTGAAAATTGGCAGGAATTACCTGAGCAACAACGTAGTGATGCTGTTAGTGCAATGGTTTATGAAGCGAATGCAAGGGTTAGGGACCCTGTGTATGGATGCGTGGGAGCCATATCCTCTCTTCAGCAACAAGTTGATGAGTTACAAACCCAGTTGGCACTAGCACAAGCAGAGGTTGTGCACATGAGAATGTGCCACGCGTCAACTTCATCTGATCAACACAAACCAGCCTCCAATACATCCTCAGAGAACTTGTCCCCATCAAGTAGGCTCGCCAAGTCTCTATTTGACATGGACATGGTCGTTGATCAGCCAAACATGGGGGAGTCATTGTGGTCATGTTAGGTAATTAGTTTATTATTATTATGACAAAACTTAAGTATAATTTTTTATATATAGTTGGTGTTGTTTTTCGATCAGAATTGGAGTTTTGCTTCAATAATATGTATTTTTTTTTTTTTTGTTCGTCCCTGTAGTATCCAGGGCTGATAGCGGTGACTAATCTCCTCGCTACGTTGGAGGCACCTCAAAGGGTGGGATAGCTGGCCCCAAGATTTAACGCGGCTGCATGCACAAGGCAGGATTCGAACCCCTGACTTTGCTTAAGCGTGGATCAACTCCTACCGCTGAACCACACGCTTGGGGTTAAATTCAAGTGTATATTATTAATGCAAAACTCAAATTTTGATAAAAAAAAAATAACACCAATTATACTTGCACTTAAAAAATTATACTTAAATTTTGTTATTATTATTATTATTATTATTGGGGTGGATAAAATGGGCATGTCTAGCTAGCTATCTTCACTTTATTTGTTTTCTTCTTATTATTACTATCACGGGCTTGGCTCGTTTTATTGTCTGCCTCTGGTACCCTTTTTGCTATGGACTCTCACTTTATGATTTCTTTTTGTTATGGACTGGAAGACTTAAATGATCTCCTCATTACATGAGATGATGATTATGTTCTCTAACCTTAATGTAAATGTCTGCGACTTGTAATTTTGAGTAATCATGTCATCATTATAGTAAGGAATTCACAAGTGTGAAAGGGAGATTTTAAGTAGGTTAAAACGGGGTTACTAAGTTGGCCTTTTGATTGAATAGAATTGGTGCATTTCTACGTCAGTTTTGACCTTAATTAATGTAAATTTGATCTTTTTACGTGAAATATTTTATTTGTACTGTAATACAAAATGATACCCCGGACAGATGGACAGATATCACGAAGCATCTAAATTAACATTTCGTCAAAAATGATAAAATTAAATATCATTAAAATCAAACTAATTGCCAATGTTCCCCAAATTAAGCACAAACAGCTTTAAATTATCCACTAAACTTTCTTAATTATTCATTTCATACTAAAAACATCGTATTTATTTTTTTAACTATAATATTAATACGAAATATTTACTATCAAAAGTAATATCAGATCTCTTATTCATTTCATACATTACTACTAAATTACTATAATTTAAGCTTTAACAAGCTAAAGCATGACATATTAAAAGAAAATAGATACTATCCTAATTATTTCTTATTAACTTGAAGAACAAATGCCCAATCTTGTTGTATTTTCAAAATGTCATTTCAGATAATGGGTGAACATTTTGAAACAATTGGAACATAATAAAGATTTTAGTGCACAATATGTATCATAAATATTATGTTGTCAAAGTAAAAAAAATATGTTATCTAATCCCGAGAATTAATAATGTTTTCTCTAATTATGACTCTCATCTAATATACATTGCATAATATAATAATCATACACATAAGTGTCATCTTGTACATTACATTAAAATGAGAATTAAATTTAGTTATATTACAAACTTTGTTAAGAAACTAACTAACGTATTAAAAGATGCACGATAATGTAAATAACTTACATCAGGATAAATGTAAGTAATGTTCATTCTCTTGCATTAGACTTACCACCCAAAATATTGCTACCAACAACACTGGTTAAATTAAATAGACAATTTATTAAAAGATGATAATGTATAGAATCAAATAAGCTTGTAAGAATTTCAACCTTCCAGTGTAATAAGGGTTCACTAGTGGGTTGCCTATGCAAGAAACATAACCACAACATACTTCCTATGAGTAATGACAATGAGTTTCCAATGAGATCTGAAACAAAACGAACCAATTAGTAGCAATATCGATATAATTAATTACTTAATGTATTTTAACTTATACTAACTTGTTGATGTAAGGAGAAAATATGTTTTCCTTTGGTATTCATCCATGCATGCCTATATGTAAGTCTAAGTATCTACATTTTCCCCAAAGAATCCATACAACTGTATTTTTCTTAATACGTGACTTGTAATTGATTCAAGTACCTAAAATGAATAAAATAAATGTTAACCATAAATAATAACAAGATTTTCAGAAGATGGGACATTATTAGGAGTGTTGTTGCATGGTGTATTTGGAATGGGAGGAATAACATGATTTTCAGAAGAAGGGTAACTGCACTGGAGGAATTGAAAGCCAACTTACACCTTACTGTGTGGTTGTGGCTGAAACTTAATGACCTCATGGACTTTACCTTTGATCAATGGATAGTGTGTCCATCTCAATGCATGCAAAATGGTTGGAAAAGTCAAGTTTGAGATTAGATGCGGTGGTTGAGCGAACCTGCCAGGCTACACGTATTCTCTAATGGGCTTAACTATAGCCACAATTTCTATTGTCTGGAGCTGATTAAATATGTAAAACTTTTTTATTGTTGTCCAGCTTCGCTCATACATTATTTATATCTTAATTTGTATTTTACTGTAATTTTGGGTCTGTGGCACCCCTAGTGCCACATATTCAATATATTCTTGGATGTTACAAATAAAAAAAACCATAAATAATAACAAAATAATAAATTACTTAATAAAATAACTAAATTATTTACAATGCTCATGACTGTAAATATAACAAAAAAGTTTAGCATATGATTTCTCTCATTAGTTCTAGAACATCTTGCATGTTTGCGTACAATGGGACATGTGATGAAGTGTCCACACTAAAGACTAGAATGTCTCATTGCACCTATAAGGGAGATTGCATGAAGGATGATGAAATATCAAGAAGGTGAGTTAAAGGAATCATCTATGAGTTTTGACCTAACTGTAGGTCAAACCTCTTTTATAGTATGGAGAAGTATCATAATAATAAAAGGAAGAGCAGCGCAAAGTGAAGTAGAAGACCTATGAATAGTGTTTTCAAGCACTTTTAAATCAGGGTTTCTGTTTATTGAAACTAACAACCTATTGTTTTCAACTTGAAATATTGTAATTTGTATATTTTTTTTAAATAATAAAAATAGGGATGACATGCATCACTATAGACACTAGACATCCCAACAATTATGACACCCTTAGGACTGTCAATCATGTGTAGCATATCCAATATTGTTAAAAAGAATAAAGATACATTGGTGTGGGGGACTAGGCCAAACCCCTCGAAAAATATAAGGCAAACAATTGCAATTACGTAAAAAGGTCTCATTGTAGAACCTAAGGAGATAATCCTATCAAGCATATGATATTCTATCAGAAAAACCATATGAAGTTATAGCCTATCTGCACAAATATTTCCTTCCCAAAAAATGTGAGATGCAAAGAAACGAATTTGAGAAGTAATGTCTAGTGTGTGGTGCTAATTACTCTATAGGTCATAGGAGACAACATGCTCGTTGGATAAAACCAAAATAACCAGTTTGGCATCACATTCCAACCAAATGTTGTGCCACCTTGATGAGTAATAAGCCTTGGATATAGTCATCATAGCTACCATAAGTTTGGCATGGAGAGCTAAATAAATGCCAATATAATAAGAGAAATATCTAAGGAATATTCACCATGGTGATCACGAATGATACCTCCACAACCTACATGACCGTGGACAACTTTGTGTTGTTCTGTTAGTGTTACATTTAATGAGCCCCAATGTCAGTGGATGCCAATCTACTTGTATAATCTTCTACTCCTTAGGTAGATGGAAAGAACAACCCAAGTTGTGGATGATGTTTATATCCGCCCATGCATGTTAATAACCTAATGAAATTGAAACGGAAATGGATTTCAATGATATTAACAAAGTTATGGCCTATGTAGTGTTAATACGCTTGTTTTGAAAGTGAAGAATGTTTCTATAGAACCATGCAACCGAGATAACATGCATTAAGGTAGAAGAAAAAATGTCTTCATCTGACTACTCCACTTTTTTCTAAAGGATCTCGAGAAGACTCTCGGGAAATGTTTTATCAATGCAAGTGTTGATCACATTTTAAAGCTAAGACCATACAACTTGAACAAAAGAACATTGAAGAAATAGGTGCTCTAAAGATTCCTCAACAACACCACATAGGCTACACATAAAGACCATGGTTATCCCACGCTTACGGAGGTTTTAATCCATGGGAAGCTTCTAGTGTAGAAGTCTTCAAAAGATAAAGGATCTTGAAGGCAGTATGGAATGTGACCAAATGACATCATCCCAAAAAAGAGCTTGTATTTGTTGTCTACAAAATAGATAAGCTTTTTTGAATGTTAATTCACTAAAACCACAAAAAAACCATATTAGTGTGTCTTTCTACTAAGAAGGGTGTAGGCCACCAATGCCTGTTTCAGCTCTAGAATTTTGTGCAACAGACAAGAAGGGATGCATCAAGTGTTATCTACCATAAAGGCACTAACATTAGCCTACAAAACACAATTATGCTTTTCCTTTAGACCTAGGCAATTAGTAATAGATACCTTTATGCACCAAACATCTACCTGTAAATTCATTTGTTTACCAGCTCCTAGAATCCATCATGTGTATTGATGAAGTGAACCCCAGTGATGCCATATTGACGGCCAAATAGATGAAGATTTAAAGCACTACAAAGGTTGTCTATTACATAAAAATCTGGCACACATGAAAGTCGTCCATCCCTACAAGCCATGGAGAAAGGTCCATGTAAGCTTGAGAATAGTTGTTTCATTTAACAAGATATTTGATTGAAGACCCAGCCCCCTTCCTTGAGCGGCAAGCACACTGTTTTCCATGACACATTAACATGTTTACGAGTATATAGGTCTCTCGACCAAAAGAAGTTCCTAAGCATATTGTCCACAAGTTTAATCACACTTTTGGGCTAGGTATAGACATGAAAGTTGTACAAAAAAACTGCCTTGAATAATTGAACTGATTAGCTGAACTTGCCCTATGATAGAAAGTAGCTTACCCTTCCATGAAGCTAGTTTCATTTTGGGCTTATCAATTGCGACTTCCAAAAAACATGCACGAGGCATCCCTTTATAAATAAAGACCCCTAGATAATTAAAAGGATCAACTTCCTACCAAATCCAAGCAAATGTCAAAAAGTCGTATGTCTCAACATTGGCATGGCACTACCAAATAGACTAGAGTTGAAGCATGATAAGGCACGGTGAGGGCACTACAGCAGGAAAAGTATCAACCTTCTTCTTCCAAAATTTCCCAAAGGCGTATCAAAATGCATGCAAATATTCCCAAATACTACAAAGGAGATTGGCAGAATCAAGACAGAAGGAGACAAGCAGTTGAAGGCATGATCAACAACAAACAGTGCAGGGATGGAAAAAGGAGAATAGCGAATTAATCTGAGTCATATGTTGAAGCAATCCAACAAGGTAAACTGGGAACGTTACAAATTTGGAAGGCTAAACAAGTCCCCTAATAGAAAAAGGCAAATGAATCTTGGATTTGTTTAACCTTATCAGCTAAGGAAGAAACACCGAGTGGATAAGTAAATGTTGGATTGGAAGACTCAAAGATCTAACAATCTTCAACAGGCTGCATGAAGCAAGAATTCTAAACAAAATGCCAGATGCAAAGATAAGATATATGGGAGACGACACATGGTCCTCATCTCAAGTGTGGAAGAAAATAATCTCAAAGAGTATGAGGCCCATTCCATGGGTGTATGGTCCTTTTTCCATTCTATCTAGAAGTGGGAACCTCATCTCATTCCAGGAAATAGATTAACATGGGTTAGGTGTAGTGGGATCCCAATTCAAACATGGGGGCAAGAATGCCTCTCTAAAATTGTCAGTACGCAAGGCACACTAGTCTTTATAGATAATGACACAACCACACTCAGTAGATTCGACTTCATGAGGCTACTGATTAAAACCTCTTCTCTACAGGTCACATCAAATTCAAATATGTGGAACAACTATAGTTGACCATACACTAAAGGGAGGTATAGAGGGAACGAGCAACCAGAGAATAAGCCATGCAACAAATGAGTATGATTTGTCTGTCAAAACAAATAAAGGGGAAGATTTGGTGGCAAAAAGAAATGACAGGTAGGAGTAGGAGGATCAGCATGTGCCAGGCTTAAAGACATATCAATGTCGGTGTAACGGGACCAATTACACTTCCAACAACAGAAAGAAATCTCTTAAAGGCTTATGTGGGGCTGACAATTCTAAGAATGGGCTAATTGGGCCTAACAAAGACCGGGATAACACAATCCTCTCTAATACTGGGCCTATTGCATTCGGCCTAATGTCGAAAATGCGTGTACTAGACCTAGCACCCCATTCACAAATGAATGGTGACCGAATTGGAAAAGCAGGAGAATCTCATAATCAAGGAAAAGAATAGGGTATACAACGATTGTGTCTGGGCGCTACACAGTTGGAAACAAAGACCTCTTCAAACTCTCAAGAGTCAAAGCATAAAGATGCAAAAGCTGAGTCACCTTTGGAGAAAATAGCCATACACCTATCTGTATTTTGTTACTAAAATGCAACCGACAGTCATCCAGACATGCACAAAAGATGATTCACAGGAGCTGAATAGAACTGATCAATGTTTTCTCCCAAATTCCAAACCTAGAGCCTTTGGGGATTGGGACACTTCCAACAATGATGTGTTTAGAAAATAGGTAAGACACACCATTCACTCTCTAAGTAACTCCACCTTTGATTGTAATATCAATTTCAATAGAGTATTCTGGTTGAAACACAACATGGCAGAGGCCAAAAAACTATGGGAGATCAGAAAAGTAATCAGTGTGGCATATATATAACCATGATGAGGGGTAGATCATTGAGAAACTTATGAATTTAAAAGAGGGAGATCAGTAGGAGAGCTTAAAATTAATTAACCAATCTCATAAGGGAAATCAAGATGGTGATTAATGAAGATCTTATCTCTCAATTTTAGGGGGCTAGGTGGAAACATTAAATGATGTCATGTAAGGAGATTGATAGTCAAGGAGGATATTCATTTATTATGTGTGTAGGAGACTAAAAAAGAAAAATTCGCAGTAAAATTATGCCACTTGTTATGGGGAGAAGGAGATTTTGAATGGAGGATGATACCTATTGTCAACTTAGGAGGTGGATTACTATGCATATGGAGAAAAGAAAAATTCGAGATAAACTCACATTTTGAAGGGGCTGACTATTTGGGTTTGGAAGGGGAATGGAAAGATAATGGAAAGAGAGTGCATAGTTAATATATACGCACCTTGTGAAAGATCTCAAAAGGCATGTCTATGGAGAGAGCTAATTGAAGAAAATGAGAGTAGTACTACAAATTTATGGTGTCTAGCAAGGGATTTTAATAGCATGAGAAATGTAAGGGAAATAATTAGTCTAAATGGTGGGATTTATGACTCTTCACATATCAGGAATTTCAATAACTTCATATCCAATATGGAAATAAAGGATCTTCCTCTAATTGGCAGAGGTTTCACATGGTACAAGCCAAATGGAACAACAAAGAGTAGGATTGACAGGTTCATGGTTTCTAGAGACTGGTTCATTGTATGACCTAGAACCTCACAATTTGTGCTGAATAAAAGCATATCTAATCATTGCCCAATCAAGACGCAAAATGCAAACTCTGATTGGGGGCTGAAACCTTTTTGTTCTCTAGATCACTAGTTCAAGGGATAAGGATTTTGAGGTGTTTGTAAAAGAAACATGGAAGGATCTTTCTGTTCATGGGTAGGGGAGCTTATGTTCTTAAAGAAAAGCTAAAATTACTCAAATGTAGGCTAAAGGAGTGGAATGCAACAAAACTTGGAAGTCATGCTGCAAACCATAATCGGATTGTAAAGGATGAACAATTTGAACAAAAAGGAAGAGAGTACAAGATTAACAACTAGAGAACTACAAAAAAGAAGAGACTTACAACAAGAATTTTGGAAGAAGGCTACACGGAATGAATCAATCTTTCGGTTAGGAGACAAATTTTCTCTCAACATTCAAATTGTTCTATCTGAAGTTCAAATTTTAAAATTGTTTAAACTAAAGTAGTTGAAGTTCATTCCACTAGGCCCAATTATTCACACGTCAACAAGAACTAAAAGAAAAACTAAATAAAATTATTGAAACTAACTGAGTATTTAAATATTTATAAAACGTAGCTTGGTCATGACTAACACAATAAGGAACGTGACTCAATTCGCAATACATATTGAGCTCGTGGGAAAAGATTTCTGTTCAATTTCCGTTATTAATTTCATAACCATTTCAAAGGAAAAGTCTCACTTGGAAGCCAAACTAAAATAAATACTTTATGTCTCTATATATTTTAAAAATAATTTAAAAATAAAAATGTTAGAATAGACGGTTGGAGGAGAAAGTTTGAAGTAGAATAGAAATTTATAACTTATAAAGATAATAATATTCAAAAAAAATTATGTACACAAAAATAAAATATCACTTTTATATATAAATATAAATATAGTTTAATGAACTAATTTGAATTGACATGAGCGATAAAAGACTCACCTCGATTAATCAAATAATTAGAATTGAATCTTGATTCTTAATAAAAAAAAATTCAAAAGGGAGGAGATAAAAAAGAACATTTTTATTAATGTTTCATTTGGCATATTATTATGTAAATTTGCCTATTCGGCACGTGGAATGAAACAATAAGATCACAATAGCATTCACGTCACTTCCATCAATTATGAAATGAATCATGATGAAATTAATTTGTTTAACACACATGTATGATACAAGCGATGAATGGTGTTGCAAGAATTACAGGAATTAGAATTGAAGCATTAGAACTCGAACTGCATCTTTGATGTGTAGCCAAGTGCGTCAAGGTGAGTAGCCATTGCCTTATTCATTGGTGGTGGACCGCACCTAAGTATCTGCATAATCATTTTTCTTTTAAATATAAGGTTTGAATAGTCACTATAAAAAAATTAACATATAATAACACATATTCTATAATAACATAAGTGTCATTAAAAAGTACTTTTATTTATATTTGTTAAAAAATATGAGTATACACTATAATTTTATACAAAAAATATTAAATCTCATTCAAAATATAATCAACACTAAAATTATATATAATTATATGTTAAATAAATATATACCTACATATATTATATTTATAATGACACTTTTTGTGTGTCACTATATGTAACATTTCTCATAGTGTGTATATAGTTAATATATGGAAAGGAATTAATGTTACACTCTTTTTCTATTATTTTTTTTACTGTTGATTAAAATTTATAATCAATAATAAAATAGTATTAATAAATGAGTGATAAAGAGTGTTGCTGGTAATTTTAATATATTTAACCTGAATATCTGGAGCTGGTTCAGGACAATGTGATTTAATAATCTCCTTCGATATAAAACCAATGCCACCATTCCATTCTCTAGGAGGCTGCCACATATGGAAAATATCAAACATTTTAATCTACAAAGAAAGATATTGATGGATATGAATTCAATTTTTTTGTCTGAAACTTAATTATAATCAATGAAGGTTTTTATTATTTCTTACTGCCGAGAGAAAATAGTTGTTAAAAATAAAATTACTTCTACATTATTTTAAGGATAAAATTCCAGTAGCAAAATTATTATTTTAACTTTTTAGAAAAAAAACATGCAGTTAATTCTAAAGCATGTCTATTTGTATAATAACTTATATTCTTATATATTATATAAAATAATGGCCCTGTGCATATGTTATATAATATATATATATATATATATATATATATAAACAGT